AAATGTGTGTGACCAAACGTCTCCCATACCTTATCGTCGTCGTATTATCATTAAATATCATTATAGTATACTATATATAATATTATATCGAAAATAACGGATAATACAACACGTAGGGAATCGAGGGGGGCGGGGTGGGTGGTGGCGGTGGGTTGCGGAGGCGTGGATGAAGGATGGAATTTTGGATGCTTCTCTTTCTCGTTATCCTTTCGATTTGGATAATGGGCGGGGAAGTGGCTGGGGGGTTGATTTAGAGGGTGGAGAGGATGTCGAGGGACACTGGTTACTGGGGAATCGAAAAGGGCGCTAGCTGCTATTAATCAGCTGTGCTTTGTTTTCGGGGCGTTCGCGCGTCCGCGCTCGCGATCGCTTGGATGAGGGGGGCTGGGTGGTGGGTGATGGGCGGGTGGGCGGTTGGTTGGGGCGGGCCCCGATGTTCTGCTTCGGCCAGGGATCCATATCGATCGATTTCGAGGGGTTCACGATCCCTCGTCCCTCGATAACAAATCCCTCGCGTGGGGGAACGCAGGGGGCGACCCGCGTCGATCGCGAACCGCGGCCGGCTCGATGAGCGGCGGAGCTAAAGTTACATGGTCTCCCCACACGTGTGCGTATAATCGTAAAACGAAGTCTTTGTTTTCCATTCTTTATTACTGTCTGTCTACGAAAAAACACTAATGGTAAATATCATGTTTTTTATTTTTTATTTTTTTTTTTTATTCTTGTTATTCATCGGCGGAATCATGTTTATACTGACTGGGTTATACTGCGCGGAGAGGATTCTTGTTTACTCGGAGGATTCTGCTCGGTGGAAATGGACCTGGGAGAGGGAGGGAGGGAGTGATCGAGGAGGAGGAAAACGGAGGAGTAGAAACGGAGGGGGAGGGGAAAAGAAGCCGGGGGTACTCTGGAACATCGACGGAGGAGGAGGGGGACAGGGGACACTGAGTTTACATTTTCTGCTGGCTTACTTACGTCGAAGGAGACGGATAGATCGGTAATTGGGTCGGGGCTGTTATCTGTGGGACGAGTGAAATAATTGTTCGATGATCTCCGGAGGATCGCGAGAAGGGTAAATCGGGAAAAGAGGGGGCGGAGGGTTTAGGAGGTTAAAGAAGGTCGTTAAAATCGGGCGTTGGGTTACTTTTAATCGCTTGCTTATTAGAACTGGACTGACTGATACAACTGGTAGAATACAAGTTATTTTTTTTCATTCGTTTTACATACGGCTATTACTTCAATATACGGTAGGTAGTTAGTATGTAGTTGTCGACACACAATTCAATGATTACTGGGCGTTTACTGTTTATACTGCTTTACTGCTTGTTTAATTGTTAATAATTAAGTAAGTTTAATTGTAGTTAGTTAGTTAGCTTCTTACGTAGCTTCTCGTCATTCATAGTTAATGTGGTTAAATTCTACGCTTGTATTTTCGGGGGTATTCGGGTTATTCGGGGATGTTTCGATGGGGGGGTTGGGGGATGTGTTCCTGGGGATATTTCTGGATCGTGTTTTTCTCGTGGGGTTTCCGTGGGGTGGACATTGGAGAAGTGTAGTGGCGAAGCCGTGCACCGATCCAAGTTTTGACAAACGATGAGCGAGACCGACGCCTCTCTCTCTTTCTCTCTCTCTCTCTCTCTTTCTTCCTTTCTCTCTTTCTCCCCCCCCCCGTAGATGGAACGATTTCGACGAAATCGCATCCGGTTAGGGGAGGGGGGAGGATTGATCGCGCGCGTTCTCGCGAGTCAACGATTGTCCGCTCGATCGGCCCACGACTACTCTCGGGGTTTTCTGACTGGGAAGTGGGAGAGACCATAGTATACATATATATTATGTAAGTATACTTATCGCATAGTAATTGCATTTAATCAATATACGTGTGTTATCGGTGCATAGCAGCGTTCCGAACTCCTTGCATCAACGAAAATATTCTTTTTCTCTCTGGGGTGTCGTTGGATATATTGCGAGCGTGTGTACGAGTGTACGTGTGCGTGTGTGGGTGTCTTACTCCCCGGGGCGCGGAGTGAGTGTGAGTGTGAGTGTGAAGATACCGCGTATTTCGCGCCTCGGGGTTGCCTCCTCCTTTTCGAAGTAATATTCTTGGCCCCTGCAAGAGATTTCCGGAAGAGATCCGTTGTTTGATATTTTTTCCACTTTACGATGCAGGATTCTCGATCGTCCGCTCGATGGATCAACTCGATCTCTTGTTATTAACGATAAATCTGAACGGTAAGAGAAAATGTATAAT